TTTTTTTTATATAAGCCTCATTTCCGATGAAATATTTCACAATATATGAATACATTTGTGAAAATCACGGATGTGGTGATGGCGTCTTGTTTACAATCTCAATGTGATTTCTTTCCAACCTGACAAACATATAAGTCGACAAAAATAAATAAAACATTGATAGCATTTTGAAAAAAAGAAAAAAAAAACTTCCAGTTATAACGAGACACGAGAACCATAATTATTTTTTCAGGATGCTTTCAAGAAACAAGCAGAGATGTTACAGGAATATCTTTAGAAACGTAAGGAGGGTTAAGCTATCGAAAGTTGTGTCCATTCAAGTCTTTAAAACAGTATGCCAATGAGTGATTAAAATAGTTTAATTTGCTTGGTGAATTCATCTAATTGAATAAGTCCATCATTGTTGTGATCTGTCTTGTTAAAATGAACTTCGAAGGTCAAATGTGGAGTTTCAGATCCATGCTTGATCAGATATTTGACGAACTCATCGAAATCGATTGACCCATCGTGGTTGTGATCAGCTGCAACAAAAAATCGAATCGAATTTTCCGACCAGTCATTCTCAATAGATGATTCAGAACGTTTTCGTCTATCAGGACAACAACCACGTTCACAATTGCAGCATCCAACATCACACGGACCACAACCCATACAACCCCAAGGAATATCAAATGACCAGAATCGTCTTGTTCGTTGAGTACAACATACGGCATTTGATTGCTCAGGAATCATTGTCCAAATGGTCAAAAATAATAATATTTGTTTCATCAATATTCTTTCCAATTAGCACCTAAAAAATACACAACGCTTTTAAGACACTGACGAAAACCAGCTAAATTCTCATGAAAAACTAGATCTTGCTCTACTTTTTCTTGGCCATCCCTCATGGAAACCAAAAGAACTCGAGGAATGATGCAGAATACATTACGTATTGGATAAATTGGTACATTCAACTAAACTATGGGAAATTATGCAGAAATATCAATGAAAATATTATTTTAGACTATATCAGGTCATTTTTCTATGAAATTTTTTGTCATTCAAAAGTTTAAATGTTTTTCTAAGTATCTAATTTAATTCGAATTGAATATCCAATAGCGGATCTAAGTACAATTACACTCTAAGAAGGTTCCACACAAAAATGTTTTGTTAATGTGTTCTGTTTTGAGTAAATCGGTAGTATCAAGTATTTTAGCCAGGACTCGTAAAATTTTATTTTCATTTGTTGAGTTTTAAACACGAAACCCTTCTCTAAGGTACTAATGAGAATAACAACATGAGATATAAAGCAAAGATAAACCAAGAACTAAAGGTTTTTTTCGATTTTCTTCGCAGTAAAAAGTAGTAATATTAACTCGATAATTGTATTTCTAGTGAAAAACAATTGAAAACACCTGATTTGTATAACGTTATGTATGATTCTCTTTTGTTAAATGAAGACAATCAAAATAGACTATACAATGAAATAGCATCACAAAAACTTCTATCCTACCTGGAATAACTTGCTTAAAGTCTTTAATAATGATAATGAATTAATGAATGAAACTATTGGAGTCTGTTTCTGTATTTATACAGAAAATGCTTTGTATCAAAATATTTTTTACACGAAAGAAAGATACAGAACATATCAAAAGAAACTTTTCCCACTTGTGACATGGCGTCATCAGAAAGAAAGAATGAGACAAATTTGACTGATTTAGATAAGACATTACTGGCGTTTCGTCAGGGAATAACAGTAAGACCCATAATAATCGTGTTCGTCATTATTCAAGAACTTTTTGCGCCAAATAATAACGAAATATAGATGGGAAATTTCTAGGTTTTCTATTTAGGAACATTCCCACATGAGGTTCACCTCTTATTTCGTCAATTGCATAGAACTGCAAAATCTAATCAAAACATAATGTCTTCTTTCTCTACACTTACATAATCAAGTTTTGTTTTCAATCCTTGTTCCAAACAACACGTATGTCTTTATTTATATAATGCACTCATTACTCTTTCTACTTATTTGTCTCGATTTATTGGCATGAGCGTGAGCTTTGTTTTAGCTTTATTGATAGTGTCTTTGCTTGATACAATTATAAATGTTAAGATAAGCATGATTTTTTGTAAACAACCGTCTCAGTATAAATTATCTATCAGAAAACACACTAAACTTCTTTTGACACAAAAAAATTATGTCAGCTTCAAAATCCAGTGCAAGTGCTATCACAAAATCCATAAATCTCGAAATCGACTTCTTTTAGGGCAAGGGAGGTTTAATTTGTTACTATGTTAAAGTTTAGTTTATGCTTTAAAAACTAAGCACAATAGTCAGATATGTTCAGATCGAAAAATAAACAACAAGTTCAAAAATAAAGAATCAATTATTGTATATTTACATGTTTTCAATATTACATAAATATCTTGTTTCATTTATAGTATATTTTTGGAACTTTTTTAACCAAGAAAATCTTGAATAATATTTAATCATTTACCTTCCGTTGGTCACAAGAGTCACTATTTGTAGAACGATTCCAGAAAATATAGGAAAAATGATATTTGGAAACGATAAGAACAGTTTTTTAAATGAACTTCATGAGCTATTAACTGGTAAAAATCAATATTTTTCATCGCTTTGCTTTTGAAATACCGAACCTATAAAATCAATAATTTTGAAGAAAGTAGAAAAATTCATATTTTTTGAAACAAAGTGTTTTCTACTGACACACAATAGAGATCTTCCAGAATATCTCTACGATATAAATTGATGAATAAATCTACTAATGAATTAAATATGTCTCGAAAGCTTCACATTAATTCAACAAATCGCACATATAGAAAAATACGATTGATCATGGAGTCATTATTAGGCAATTAAAGTACAATCCAGGATAAAGTTAATATATGTATTAATCAACTCATGAGAAGTTGAAATAATATTATTTTAAAAGAATTTTTTATCTTGAGAGGTTACTAAAATTACTTACAATAAAGTTGGTTTTTCATAAAGCAAGATGTGTCACCAACAAATGTTTTCTTTTGACATTATTTTTTATTTGATTTACTTCTTCATTTTTTCTATTAAAGTCATTTTATCAATGATACTTCTGGAATACTAGCATAAACATATTCATAAGTTATATTTCTATTTGAGTTCATTGTTTGAGAAAATTGTTGTGAAAAATTTGTTGCATTTTTGTTGAAGCTTTGTTAACTAATATCATTAGCTGAATAATTTATTCCAAAATCAAGATAGGTTTACTATTGATTCTTTAATTCTTGTCAAAAATAAACATTTTCTTTATTAATTATGATTTCTTTGAAATTATTATATGACAAAAAAACATTCAAAATGCATTCAATCACAAAAGTAACATCAAGTTGATGTTTTTTCTTCATGCATATTTGTCAAACAATTTTCCAAGCATTTATACTTTCTCATTGACAAAATGAACCAAGTCGAATTTGTTGCTATGAATGAGGATCCAGTAAATCCTTTGAGAGGCTATAAATGAAAGTACCATTTATATGACTTCATAAATCAATGCAATAAGATAAAGAAATAAAAAACAGACAATGAATAATTGCAGTTTTTATCTCCTCTCATTTCGATTTATGTTTGGCATGTCACTCATGCATATCGATACTTTACGCACAACCATTTTTTTCTTTCAACAAATAAAACAAATGGATTCTACTTTAAATACTATGCGAAACAATATCGATGAACTTGAAATTCGTTTCGAAAAGTTACGTGAAGACATTGTTCACAATTAAATGAATGTAGTGATTATATCAAATCTGCAAAAATGTTATGTCATCAAGCAGCAGAAATGGCCACAGTTTCAGAAAACGAATCAGCTAATGCATCGATTGAAAACACAGAATGGAACGATATCACAGGTGAATCAGCAACAGCATTAGTTCCACGCAAAGTTATACTCGATGTTGAAGGTGAAAAATTTCATACCAGTGTTGAGACATTAACACGTACAGAAAATACTTTTTTCACAGAACTTTTCTCTAAGTAATGAGAGCTTGAAAGAGATCCTGATCATAAAAGTATATTCATCGATCGTGATGGCAAATTGTTCAAACATATTCTGAAATATCTCAGAACAAATAAACCATCAAATGATATTTGGAATAATAGTTCACTTCGTGAACTTCGACCACGTGAAGATTTGATGCAAATACATTTCATTCACTTTGTGATGATAAAGAACCAACAATGACTATTATTCAATCAGATAACGATTCTCTTTTTGGAGGTTATACATCTGTTCCATGGACTTCGAGTGACTCAAAGGCAAATGATACTACAGCATTTTTATTCACGTTAATCAATCCTTATGATATTCCACCAACTAAATATTCCATCAATCATGATGAGGCGGGTAATGCAGCTGAGCATCGCAGTAATGGTGATCCAACATTTGAAACCGGTTACGATATTTACTTGTCAGATGGATGGAATTCGAACCATGCAAGCTATACCAAATTCCCTTGTTCACACCTCGATACAACGGGAATGGGTAATAATACATTTACAGGTGCTCGAAATTTTATTGTATCTGACTTTGAAGTTTTCAAACTAGCTTAAACTATTTTTCTCACTACTGACTCTCAAAGATGATTGATGAAAAATAATTTACATATGATTATCTTGATTTTAAAATCTATTGAATCTAGAAAATATTGAATAACCTTCTAATATATGTGTTTTTCATGCAATAGAAAAGATATTTCACAAGAAATAAACAATATTAATGAAATTCATTACACAGCATGATTATTCTGTATTATTAGATAGATTTGCTAATTAAAAATTAATTTGAAATTTGCTCAACATTAGAAGAAGAAGCAGCGAAGCTTTGATTTCAGGGTTAATCTTATTAATGAAAGCCAACATTTGAATAAAAGATAATTAGTAATGAATGCATTTTTTCAAAAATCCACTATGTTTATAATCAAATTGTTTTTTGAATACTATGCATATGATCTGAAGACAAATGTTGATGTAACTCAAAAATGAACGTTGTCAACTAGTAATATGCAGAACTAAGTTTAGTCTTGGCCATCGGGATCACGGAGAAGTAAAACTATCAGAACGAAAACTGAAGATTATAATTGAATATTCTATGATTTTATGCAAATTATCTTATAAACCATATCAATGAGAACATAAATCAAATATGAAAAACTTTTCAAATATTTTTGTCTAGACCGGGATCACAAGAACTTAATCTCGCACATTTATTCTGTTAGAAACAATTTTTTTTACGAAGTATAAGAGTCAAATATGTTAAGATTGAGAAATTAATAAGAGATTTAAAATAAAATATTTACAGAGGTATGATTTGCTTAATATCATTAGCTACAAATTTTATTGCAAAATCAAGAAAGATTTTCTATTTGTTCATTGATTCTTTTCAAAAGTAAACATTTTCTTTAATGAATACGATTTATTTGAACTCATTAAATGCAAGAAATAATAATATTATTCAACAAGCAACGCCAAGGTTATGTTTCTTTCTTCATGCATATTTCTTAGACAATTTTTTTTATCGACAAAATGAACAAATTTCAATAGACTTATGCAATATTTCTAGTGAGCATTGCGAGAGACTATGAAAGAAATACGAGTTGCATGACTTCAGAAATAAATACAACGATATAGAGAAACAAAGAGTATACAATGAGTTATTTGAATTTTTCCTTTCTTTCAACTCAATTTATTTGTCGTGTGTAATCTACGTATTTCAAAGAAAACAAAATCAATGAAGATCATTTCTTTTCTTATCAACCTTGAATAATAAAGTACTTTACAAATAATCATTTTCCCAAAGAAATGGATTCTAATTTAAATACTGTTCGAGACAATGTCTATCAACTTGAAACTTATTTCGATAAGTTACGTAACGAAGTTATTTCAAAGTTAAATGAATGTAGTGATTCTATCAAATCTGCAAAATATTTATGTCATCAAGCAAAAGAACTAACTACCGTCTTAGAAAACAAGTTAATTAATACATCGAATGAAGAAAAAGAATGGAAAGATATTAAAACTAAATTAGCAACAACATCAATTAGAGGTATGATCATACTCAATGTAGGAGGTGATAAATATACGACAAGTGTTGAAACATTAACAAGTGAAAAAAATACATTCTTTACAGCACTCTTCTCCGAACAATGGCAACTTGAAAGAAATCCTGATGATAGAAGTATATTCATTGATCGAAATGGTAGAATGTTTACTTATATTCTTGAATATTTGCGTACAAATATGGTACCGGATAATGTTATGAACGATAAATCACTTCTTAAAAAGCTTATCATTGAAGCCGAATATTTTCGTTTGCATAGTTTAATGGATAGATTAGGCGTTATTTATTTTCCGAATGGATCATTACTTCAACTTGCACATCAGAAAAAATTGAATGAATTTTATGGTAAGATTTATCAACAATGGGAATTGATTTACAAAGCATCACGTAATGGATTTGATGGAAATACATTTCATTCACTTTGTAATAATCAAGGACCAACAATGACGATTATTCAATCAAATAATAACTATCTGTTTGGAGGTTATACAGCTATACCGTGGAGTTCGAGTTATCATTCATATACGAATGATACTACAGCATTTTTATTTACGATAACCAATCCTTATAATATTCCACCGACTAAATACTTGATCAATCCTCATCAGAGAGGATGTGCAGTTTATCATCACCGCGATGATGGCCCAATATTTGGAGGTATCGGCTATTTTCCACCATTTAGAAGTGATAACGATATCGTCGTGAAAAATGGTAGCAATGCAAGCGATTCAAGCTACATCGATTTCCCTTATTCATATCTTGATACAACTGGAAAAGGTAATAATACATTCACTGGAGCTCGAAACTTTACCACATTTGACATTGAAGTGTTCAAACTAGCTTAAATTATTTTTCTCATTATCCGACTCTCAAGGATGATTGATGAAAAATAATTTATTTATGATTATCTTGATTTTAAAATCTATTGAATCTAGAAAATATCGGGTAACCTTCTAATGTATGTGTTTTTCATTCTATATAAAAAAGTATTTCATAAGAAACAAACAATATTGATAAAACCAACTGTATGATATGATTAAAGAAAACATTTTTGTTGCTCTCATGATGACAGAATCTCGTACACATCTTTACTTATAACGATGTCATACAGGATTGCATATGTTAAACAGATGTATTTTATTAGTATAAATACTTTGTTTTTCTTTACAAAGACGAGTAAGTTAGTGGAATTAATGCCTAAATTATTTGTTATGCTCTGATAGATTGTCGAATTAAAAAACAACTGAAGTTAATCTTAGAAATGCAGGAAGAAACAGCGGAGCTTTGATTTCAACACAGAGCTTATTAATCGAAGATAATATGTGAGTAAACAATAATTAATAATGGATAGATTTTTTCATAAATTAAATGCAACAGAAAAAATTAAGTAAGAAAACATTCTCAACTAAAGTTCTAAATGACAAAATAACATTTTCTTCTAATTTTATATACAACTAGTAATGTGAGGAACTAATTTTAGTTCTGATCAAAAGAATCGAAAACATGTAAAAATAAAACTTTCCTAACGAGAAATCAAATTCATAATTAAGAGAACATCCATAAGACCATTGAGCATCGTGCTAAATATCGAAGCACTCAATAAAATTTAGTTTTTTTATTTGATATTCTCATCTTGTTCAGCATCATCTAAAACCTCTAAATCCAAATTTTTAGTGCATTTGGTTGAGCTGGTGAAAAGTTAGCTCAATTTTACTGTTGAACGCTCACGATGATATTTGAAAAATATCATCAAAAATCGTTCGTATAAAGTGGAGATTTTTTCGATGACATTAAATGAACGAAATTTTTCGTGTTGAACAAAATTACTTATTTGCAAATTATATTTCAATGTGCTGATCGAGAGTTATTTCTCAAATACTGTCTAAGATTGACAATTTTTTGAGTAAAAAATGTGTCAACTATCTTCAGTATACCAGCTACCATTCAGTCATTCTATGATTTCTCAGACTGAATTCCACATATGTTGTGCAACTTTTTCTCCTCTAAAAAATGGTTTAAAAAAAGTTCAAAAGAAAGTTCGAATTTTGGTCGAAAGATAACTCACAATGTTGACTAACCAGACAGCATTTATGCAAAAAATTACTGTGAGCGATTTTTTTTCAAAAAAAAAACAAAAGTTTGACTAGATTATGAATTATTCAGAGCACTTTCCACATATAGGTACGGCATATTTTAATGAATATGTGCACTATATAAACTAATCAGTCGATACTTGTTTTCTTATATGAATATAAGGTCAATAATCAGATATTAGACTATTTTCTATGGCATGTAAAAATATTCCGTAATTTCTAAAATGATAATCTACCCATTCATCTTTTCTCTTTCAAATTAAATTCAACTGTCTGATCATGTATGTGACTGCATATATAGGTAACAAAGAAACTTGGAGAGGAAGGACAAAAATTTGTCGTATAACCATGCGTTCGACGTCCGTTTCTTTTTTATTCTGTCTGTCCGTAAATTACATAGTTATATGTAACTGTACTTTTCTGTTCAACAGAACGTGAACGTAATCATTTTAAATTCGACGATCTTAAATTACACTTGAATTTGATTGTTCAACTACGTTAATCGATTAAGTAAGCTGTAATTTATTCATTAAAAATGATTAGTAGCAAGTGTTTTTTTTTCTGACTGTTGTGATGAAGTTTCTTGCTCAGAGCAAGAAACCTGGACACGTTTGTCTGAATTGAAAAATAAAACAATAAACAACAAAACATTTCCTCAGGTTGAAAATCTTTTGGAAATTATGCTTCTACGAGGAGGCATGTTTTTTGCAACACAAGTTTGTTGTTGAGAACGTTTTTGTTTGTGATGCTCATCACAAAACACTTCTGCGACCGATTAGCATTTGCCAGTCAAAAAGTAGATGCAATGGGTGTAGGAACGTAAGAGACACAACATCGTATGCTAAAACTGATTTACGAAACATTACTATAAGCCAAGCTATAACTTTATTTGAATCTTTCAATTTGAAAAATTCTTATGAAAAACTGATTTGTCGAGAATGTTGAAAAGAAGTTTTGAAGAAAATAGAAGCAACAAGGTAAACACTTCATAACGACGCCTTTGAGGTGTCTTTTCAATCCTGAGTCAGTATGCTGCAAAGAAGACTCCATGGAAGATAAAGATCTTGATTATCAGCCACCTTTAGATTCTCCAACTGATGAGGAAAACTTAAACGAACAAATAATGGCTTTGAACAGTTTTCTTTCTGCCTGTGGCAGTAAAAGAAAATTAAATGTGACAACTTCCTATAAGGATCTATCACATCGTGTCAAATTGCGATATGTAAGTTTAGTAAAACTCATAACGCGAT